ACCAAAGCAGTGCGGCTACCGAAGACGTATCCGACAACCCATCTGTTGAACTTACAGATTCAAGGATTAATCTTCGGAAAGAAAGAGGGTATGATGTGAATCGAGATGGTGAACCTTTGGGCTTGGTCGTACACATAGACCCCACTACAGAGACACGACAAAACAAACTCAGGATAATCTTAATTTGTTTTTAAATGATAATATATAGGTATCCCGAGGTGAACATAGCAAAAAGGCAAAACAAGTCACCAAAACTAGAGCACTTGACCCAAAGGAATGTCGGGAAAAAGTGAACAAATTGACCGAATCACAGTCAAGTCGTGTGACTGTTTAGGTCACACGGTCGACTACAACAAGTTTTTTGGGAGGCAAATCATAATGGGCCATAGACAGTCAAATACATTAGACGGTGTAGTCTAAACGATCAACCATCCTGAGGTGACTAACCATGTGGAGCTACTCAACTAATTCACCATCCACTTTGGATCGTTTATGGGCAACATTCAACAATCAGTGTGACCCGGGAAGGGTTACATTGTTGCATGGACTAAAACGGTCCAACACTTGACCATTGTAAGACACGGTCGACCGTGGCGCGGTTGTGTGGCTACGGAAAATTTCTTCGTAATTAGCTAAATTTTAATTAATACCACTACCAGATCACAAGATTATGTGGAAGAAGCCAAAGAAGATTATATTGATTGATTTAAAGAGATTTTAGCAAGATAATTACTATTGTCATTACAAGGTAATTAAGAGGGCAAAAGTTGATAAAATGGGCGAATCTCATTATGCTTGGCATGGAAGATGAGAGACAATATCTTGGAAGAATCAATCAGTAATAGTTTATTAGGATTTAATTCCATGTGACCATGTTTGTAGTTTTTATTTAATTAATTTGTAGGTTTAGTGTTAATTATTTCCTACAAATAAGATGCATTTCCTACATTGTAAAGGGAGATTGTTTTGGAATGAAAACGGAGTGTTTTTCTTAACCCTTTGGGTTGTGAGACTTGTAAGAATTTCAACAACTTGTGAGTTGTAAAATCACACCTTTGGCAGGTCTCGTTGAGGCATGAGAGTTATAGACTTATGACTCTCAAAAGCACACTTTTTGATAGAATTAAAGAGGGCAGAGAAAAGAATTGAAGGATAATCTTTATCAAATTATAAAATCAGGATCTAACTTCATAAATAATAAAGATGAAAGAAAATCTTTATCAAAATATGAGCAAGTATCTTAAACTCATATAAGTAGGAGAATCTCCAATGTTAAAACACTGTGTAATCTGTCATAATCGATACACATGACTAGATGTCTATTTATACAAAGAGACTCTAACTTCTACTAGTAATAACTTACTAATAACCACCCACTAACAAAGTGGGAATAACTTGCCCTAAACCTCCCACTAACTAAGTGGGAATGATTGACCCCTAACTTCCCACTAAGTGGAATTAAAATAGTTATTAAATAATAAATATGAAAAATAAAAAGACTCAACGAATAATTTAATAGTGCTAATTACTTAAATATAATATGACTTAACCAACCAGCCTGGAACCTATCACTTTTCATGGTCTAGTATAGGTGGAGAATTTTTTATCCCTTGCCTGTTCTCGAATCCTCGGGACCGTATAATATCAATTGCGGTGTCTGTTGCCCGTGTCTTATCAAAATGTCACATGATGTTACCATTTTTTTGCATTTTGATACAAACCTATTATGAAGAGGAAAACATGAGATATTGAATTTAAAGAGGAAGGGTAAAGTTGTTTATTCAAACTAGTATCACACCCGTGCGTTGCACGGGTCATTTTTATGTTATTAAATTCAGATCATTTTTAAATGATAAAAAATGAGATACAATAGAAAATAGAGATTATATTATTTTAAGATACAGAACATCAATGTTTTACAAATTTCGAAAGACTTCTTTATAGAGTACATTATTTGTAGTCTTTGTAGGAGTATTGTCTTCATTGCATATTAGAATCTTCAATCCACTACGATTAGTTACTCTTGAAACAGCAGCATAGAACTGTCCATGACTAAACACAGGATTCCGTAACAGTAGTCCAACATGTTTCAGAGATTAATAAAAGTAAGTTTACAATAAAGGTAAGTAAGTTAATAAATAATTGCCAATTTAAATTACTCACCTTTTTAATCATTTCCAATTTAAATTAATCATGTTTAGAAAGTTTTCCATAAATGAGAATGAGTCAAAACTGTGTAACATTAATAACCTGTGCAAAAGAATTATTATAATTTTAAATTACTTACCATTTTAATTGAGTCGTCACCATATGGAGTGAATAATTACCATTTTTATTGGAACACCAAATGGGCGGGAAAACCAAATTGAGAATGCATGGCTTTTTAAATAAAGTATGGATACCATGTTTCACACAATTATTAATTACCATATAAACATTATTTGTTAACATGTTAAGCACATATATGTTACCAAAAATATTATTATTATTGTTATTATCTTTATTATCATTAGTGTTACCATGACAAATTATTAACGCTAACACATTATTATTCAATGATAGATCGATGGGGAAGGTTCCCATGACATTGGGAACCAATGTCATGGGATGACCCGGGGGCGCTAACTCCCCGGTAAACCCCCCCACCCCGCCCCGCCCCGAACAAACCCCCCCATCCCCTTCAATTGCACCCCACAAGTCAATTTTGACTTTGGAGTTAGGGGGTAGGAACCGTCAATTTTACGAACGGGGCACCGGAGCGCCCCCGGATCATCCCATGACATTGGTTCCCAATGTCATGGGAACCTTGGGGTAGATCGATTAATGGTAAGTGTTGCTACTAATTATTGGTGAGTGTTGCTACTAATAGTAAGTGTTGCTACTATTTATTATTACCAGAAATTTATTATTAAGGCCAACGCACAATTAACATAATAATAATAATAATAATAATAATAATAATAATAATAATTTTTATTATTATAAAATTGTTTGCTTAGGTTAGCAATTATTATTATTGTTAATTTTTTTTATAGAAACCAAAAATGGCACTGCAACACTTACCATTGATTAAATTAAAATGGAAACATATTAATTAGTAATTAATAGAAATTAAACCAAAAATGGCAAGTAATACTTACCATGTACGGAGTCACACGAAACATAGCATTCAATAGTATCCATATATGCTTCACATGTATTGAGGCAAGATAATTAAAGTACGAAACAATTTCCATATATTAGCATCACGTATGGGCGGGAAAAATTTCCACTCGCTTTAAGTATAGTATAGATAGATGAGAAAAGAAGACCTTCAATTTGAATGGTTTTAGGATTTTGAATAAGCTGTATATTATGATTGATTGACACTATCTCTAATTAATCTCATAAACTATCTTAGTTATTGAGATTAAGGAGGGATTCTACTCGCTCAATAAAGGAGATCAATCATAGATACTACTCCCTTAATGTTTGTCCCATTTTCCTATTTTGGCCGGTTTAAAAAGGTTTATCCCTACCATATTTGGTGTTATTTATGTGTCTCAAATCAATTCAAACCGAACAAATTCAATATCAACCACACAATTCCATTATCCCAAACTTGATTGTGTCCAATATGTTGATCAGTGTGAGGAAGTAATTAAAGATTGTCAAATCATGTAAATTGATGGTCTTTAATAGAATTCACGATTGGGTGGGGTTGCTCAATTGGGAAAAAATGTGTGATATATATATAGACATGATTAGTTGGGGATACTACCCACCTATTTAGGTCCAACAAATATGGATGTAGACATGTAATTGCTTATGGTTCTTCCAATCCTATTGCCAACCTAGAGAATATGCTCCTGCTTATAGCATCATGAGATGTCGCAACCTGTCTACACAAGAAACAATACAGACATAGGAAACAATGTTTTGACTAACTTGGTAATTTAGAATTCATGACCAAATAACTACTCCCTCCGTCCCCCATAGATCTTCCCAATAGCCCTTTTTCTTTGTCCACAATAGATCTTCTCATTTCATTTTTTAACAATTAAAATATCACAACTACCCCACTTACTTTATTTATTACACCTCACCCACCTCATTTAATACACTCCACCCATTTTCATTAAGGATATTATGGTAAACTTTCACATTTTTTCAACTCTTCTTAAAAACCACCAAAAGTCAAAATGAGAACATCTTAGGGGGACGAAGGGAGTAATATCCATTTATCCAACCACTCTTGCTAACTAAGCTAAACATCATTGTTGTACAAGCGTGGTTCATATGAAAAATATATGAAGTATCTTATGTCTACAATCAAAGTAAATATTGATTGAAAAATACGGAGTAATATTTTATTCTATTATTAACATACAGTTATAGTTTGATATATACTCCCTTCATCCCATATTTAAGTTGTCACTTGCTTTTTCATGGAGTTTAATGAAAGATGAAATTTTGTGGTTGAAATTTATGCAAGGGAGAAAGAATTAATGTGGACCATACAATTCATACCATCAAAGGAAAGATAACTTGAGTTTGGGACCTTCAGAAGAGGAAAGTGAGAACTTAATTATGGAAAAGAGTATACAGTATTTGTGGATATATTCATCATGTATATATGAGTAAATGTTTTTAAGTACTCCGTATAATACTTCGTGTGTGTCAGACATGGTATAGAGATTTGATTTTTTAAAATTAGAATGGATTGCATGGTTCAATTCGTGACCAAATGGTTTGACCATTGGCCCACTGTCTGACCAAGTTGACAGGCGGTTCAAGTTTTAAACACTGCCCCTAAAATATATTTATTCCTAGTGTTATACTCCGTATAACTTTATGAAGAACATGATGATAGATGGAGGACGCTGGGTGGCTGAGCTCGAGCTTATTTGCTCAATTTGTGTGTCTACCACTATTCTAGTGTACTATGTAAAATGCCATTATGATTCTAATTTCTAACTACTCAGGTATAATTGGATTAAATCAAACACAACAATGCGACCATGGAAGTCAAATTGATGTGTTCCTCATGAGAGCTAAAGTTGTGCCTAATGCAAAAGTTCAAATTTGAGAGACAGATTGATCAAGTTCATGGAACATCACATATACCCAAGGGAAAAGGAATTCTACAAACTGGCTCAGTCTACCATGCGTTGGACAGTTCACCCAGACGAGGAGAAGTTAAAAGAACTGGCAAAAATGGAAGGCCTCTGGAACTTGTTTATACCTGTATGTAATCTTTTCAATACTTTCCAGGAAATAAAACACATGTTGCTTAAGCTAAAGATCTTAAATAAATCAATTAGAATGGAACTTGTGACAAGTTTGGAATCAATCTGGGATAAAACATTAGTGAAGAATAAACTAATTTTCAGTTTTTTGACGATTGTCTCCATTAACTTGTGCAGCTTGACAGTGCAACTCGTGCCAGAAAACTTATTTTTGAAGAAAAAAATCATGCTCCATCTGAGAAGGGATATGATTGCTTATTGGGTGCAGGACTATCCAATCTGGAATATGGGTACCTCTGTGAACTAATGGGTCGTTCGGTTTGGGCACCACAGGTTTTCAACTGTGGAGCACCTGATACTGGAAATATGGAGGTAAATGAAATATTCTACTTCTGTTGTCAGGACACACCTATTGCCCCACACTCATTTCCTGATCAATAAGTGACATTATGAAAAAACTGGCCATTGAGGAAAATATTCATTGCAGATTATTCAGATCATTTCATGTGGTATATTTTTCATGTTTTCGCATGAAGTTATTTTCTATTGAATACCTGCTGGTTTCTTGATGCTAATGTGATATGTAAATAACCCTGCTTTATTACAGTCTGTGTGTTATTGCTTACCATTATATGTTACTTTGCAGTCACTATATATCCTTGGTTGATTGTTTTTAGGTATTGCTTCGCTACGGCAATGCAGAACAGATGAAGGACTGGCTTGTTCCTTTGCTTGAGGGAAAGATACGATCTGGATTTGCAATGACGGAACCACAAGTTGCCTCTTCAGATGCAACCAATATACAATGCTCCATAAAAAGGTAAAAGTGATTATGTGCTGCTATAACAATGATTGGATTCATTGTGGAAAGGATTTTATCACATGTACAAGTGTAGAATTCCCACCTTTCAGAGGATAGGAATCTTAATTTTTTTATAGTGATAAGAATAACTTATGATGAATAACTGAAGAATTAATATATTCCAATAATCATAATGTGTGGATACAAGGGAGATTATATAGTAGAGTATTCCTAGTTATAATAGGAAACCTACTATGTGAGGAATTCTTAATTAATAAGGACTATACATGTATGGAAACTACTATATACACAAGATACTAAATATATACTTAATATATTTAACATGCTCCCAACGGCACTGGTGTGGAATGCCGAACGCCCAAGCAATCCCGGAATTCTGAAAAAATGATGGATGGAAGACCCTTCGTGAAGATATCAGCATACTGGAGAGACGAAGGGACATGTAGTACGCGGACCTGTCCGAGAGCCACTCGGTCTCTAACGAAGTGTATGTCAACCTCGATGTGCTTCGTGCGCTGATGCTTAACCGGATTTGCAGCTAGGTAGACAGCACTCACATTATCACAAAAAACAAGAGTGGATCGACTGAGTGGTTGCTGAAGTTCGAGGAGAAGATTACGTATCCAGCTGACTTCGGCTACGGCGTTGGCTACTGCTCGGTATTCTGCCTCGGCACTGGATCTGGACGTGGTGAGCTGGCGCTTAGAAGACCAGGAAATGAGATTATCGCCAAGGAATATGCAGTAGCCGGAAGTGGACCGGCGGGTGTCAGGGCAGCCGGCCCAATCAGCATCAGAATAGGCCCGCATCTGGTCTGTGTGAGATCTGGAGATGGTGATGCCATGTGATGGTGTGCCATGAAGGTATCGCAACACCCGCTTCATGGCCGTGACATGGGGCGTGCGTGGATCATGAAGAAAGAGACAGAGCTGCTGCACGGCATAAGTGATGTCAGGACGAGTGAAGGTGAGGTATTGTAGGGCCCCCACAATGGAGCGGTAAAGAGAGGGATCTGGTGCAGGTGTTCCTCCTGTAGCTGACAGTTTCCCGCGTGTATCAACCGGAGTGGAAACCGGTTTACAGTTGAGCATGCCCGCTCGATCAAGAATGTCATAAAGAAACTGAGTCTGTGTCAGGAACAAGCCACGGGAGGTGCGCTGAACGTTGATCCCAAGAAAAAAATGTAGGTCCCCTATATCTGTCATAGCAAACTCACCCTTCAACCGTTGTATGACGCTGTGTAGAAGATCCTGCGAGGAGGCCGTGAGGATGATGTCATCAACATACAGAAGTAGGAAAGCCATCTGAGACCCCTGGCCATAGGTGAATAGGGAGGTGTCGCTCTTGCACCCGTGGAAGCCAAGCGTGATAAGGAAGCCAGTAAAACGCTGATACCAAGACCGCGGTGCTTGTTTCAGTCCATAGAGCGTCTTGTTCAGTTTGCACACATAGTGGGGTCGGGCAGGATCCTGAAATCCAGATGGTTGGGCCGTGTACACCGTCTCTGTAAGGGCGCCATGAAGGAAGGCATTCTTGACATCTAGCTGGTGAATTGGCCATCCCCGTGATACGGCCAAGCTGAGAATGATCCGAATAGTTACCGGTTTAACCACCGGGCTAAATGTCTCATCATAATCTATTCCATGACGCTGATTGAATCCTCGAACAACCCATCTGGCTTTATACCTGGACAGTTCACCTGTAGGGCTGAGTTTGTGTCTAAAAAGCCATTTATCGGAGATAACATTTTAGTTAGGGGAGGGGGGTACTAAATCCCATGTATTATTAGCAATCAAAGCATTATATTCATCTAACATAGCATTGTACCAATTTTGATCTTTAAGTGCACTACGGTAGGTGGGGGGGATGGGGGATATACTGGCAACGGTGTTGAGGTTTAGGACACGTTTGGGGCAGAAAATCCCGGCCTTGGCGCGGGTGGT